GGTTCATGAGACGAACTGGTTCTTGCCCTAGTGGTATAGTCACAAAGGAAAAGAAAAGGAACCGTCAATAAGTGCCAGTTTCACATCAGAGAGAGGTAATGAAAGAGTGAACAAGACAAACCTATAGGAGGCCAATCCTCGTCCCTCTCAGCCTGAAGATCAATCAACTCCTCTATGTCCAGAGCCTCGTCTAATTCTTCAGGAGGTTTGATTGAAGTGGGGTTCAGCTTCACTTGAGGTAGTTCAATTGAGTCTGCAACATCTGTGTTCGTGGTTGGCCTGGTGGTAACAGTACTGGTATCTGGACTGATCAAAGCGGGGTTAGAAGATGAGGTTGGCGGTATTCGTTCAGGGCTAGGAGGTTGTTGAGTAGGATAATAGATGGGAGACATGCTAGATCCGTTGGTCTGAGAGATGTATGGAGATGGCCAATTCATCATTGGATAGGGTTGAGGGTGACTGGGTGGATGAATGGGCCCAATAGGCCTTTGAGATGGAAAAGGTTGAGAGATAGTTTCAGCGTTCGGCCAGTAGAACGGAACCGGATACGTATAAGGGTTCATCTGTTGTGGATTGTACGTTAGAACAGTAGGTGGATGAGGCGGATTATACGATTGATTGAACGATTGAAAACTAGGTATATTATACGATTGTAAACCAGGTATGTGAGTTGGACGAGGAGGTATCGGTGGGGGACAAACTGAGGGGACAAGAGTGTTTGTGGAGTTGTTCGAAGCTGGTTGATCTAGTGGCATTGTCTCTCGAGAAAGAGACACAAGTTGAACAAGGCCCGGGGGAAGACCAATGTTTGCCGAGTCTTTTAAATGCGATGAATCCATAGAGAAGGCGTTCGACACGCAGATTTGGATGGTGACAAAGGTTGAATTGATGTGATTGTCAATGGTTAGACCAAAGCCTGTCAAGGTAAGGAACACCTGTGCCGTGCAAGGGATGAAGATGATTATCAGACACTATGAGCACTGAGAGAGGTATGTTTCGTGGCTTGGCCACTTACCATTTTGGGACAGTTCCTTCTTGAGACGTCCGAGGTCCATAACGTGACGGAGGAAGATGTACCACTGCCCGGATTGGATGGTGTATTGGATGGTGGTTGATGGTGGACTGCCCGGATTGATTGGATGGTGGTTGATGGTGGACAGCCTGACTCTTACATCGTATGCCCGTTTTAGGAATGGACAGCCCTGTATGAGGTGAAAGGGCTGTCGGATGATATATAGCCCGGAATGACTGCGAGCTGTGCCCAAATTTGGCGCACGCGGGTCCGGGTGGTATGAAGAAAATGCGGATACAGCCCCGGGAACCCCGGGCGTCGGGTAATATCTGACCGGGCGCAAAATAGCGCTGTCCTTTTTAATTTTCACTGTCACATTTGATCAACAAGAGCACACATCATTACAAATCCATCATTGGATTGAAATCATAAGATGAACCAATACTTCCTTGTTGAAGATCAATCACACAGCATTTATTCACTAATACACAGCATCATCCATTTTGAATCAATTGGTAATCAAGAAACTTCATGAAATGTGGACCATTAAGCTTACGAAATACTAGGTATAGAAATACCAGTAGGTAAAGTGGTTTGGGCGAAATCCCCAGGCTAAGTGCCTAGGGATGTAAATTACTTCAATAAACAAAAACCGACCCTACGGGGTGGCAGCAGAAAAAATTCGCTAACAAACTGACAAAAATATAGTAAAATAATAATAATAATAATAAATAAAAATAATAAAATAGAGAAGTAATCGTAACTTTGAAAGGCTGACTAACTGAGTAATAATAATGATAAAAAGGACCACATGAGGTAACATAACCAACCGGATAAAAATATAGAATTGAAGAAAAAAGTTTTTTTATATAACAAAGATAAACCGTCAAACTGAAAAAATAACACACTTTACATGAGACAAATAATGAAATTGACTAGTAAAAAGGATCTTGCAAAAGCTACCGGGAAACAAAAAAGGGGTGGGTGGGTTGCTGAAAACCGTTGAGAATGAAGCTAAAGAGCCACGATGATGAGAACTCGATGGAAAGATAAAATTCGATAGAGTGGTAATCAGCTATGACATCATAGCTGAGATCGCCATGATATACAAAAAGAACCCGACCCGTCAGACTACAAACCTGTAACGTTACAGTCCGAATTTTATCCACATTCCCATTGGTTAATAACTAGTTACCAACAACTATTAGTATCAAGAATGTGTGTTGATAAGCCAATCTATATGAAGACTGATCATAAGCAGAGCAATGGGTATCAGTAATTTGTCATACATCAGTTGAAGACAAAATTGAAGAGTCTCAATGTATGAATTGCTTACTGATCTTGCACTAGGATTATTGTTTTATTTTATTTTATTTTATTATTTTTGAGATGGTAAAGAGGGGTTTTGAGAGCTGTTTACCCCTTTCATTGATATGTATATAAACTGGTGTGCTTTTGGCAAAATTGGGTTTCCTTTTCTTCTTCATCTCTTACAGAGATTCAATTTTGTTCACCGTTATAAATTTATTTTAACAGTCCTAGGTCACACAATGCTCAAACCAGCCTTTCTATCAGAGGTGATTTTTTTGTTTACTTTATATCTATGACAATTTCATTTTGGAATAACATTCTGAGAGAGTTTTGAGCTATGTTGAGCTTGTTTTTGATACATTGACTTGGTTGGAAGAACACTTCAATTAATATTCTTAAATCCAGATTCACCCTGTCACAATGGCAGGGATTCAGCACCTTGGCAGGTAAAACACTGGTATCTCTCTGCTTCCCACTTGTGGCTCCTCCTATCAATACAGTGATACCAAAAGCTCTCTGATCTCTGAAAGTGTCATAAAAGAATCTGCTTTTGTGGCAAAGCTTTCCATTGTTCTTTTTACATGTGCCTAAATGAGATTTTGTATCCTCCCTCAAACCTGTGCCTTGCCCTTTCTGTATTCAAAAAGTCTTTGTGATCTACATGACCTTTTTGAAAAGCTTTCTGATTATCAACACCCTTTAATTTTCCATCATGTCAAAAGCATCTTATTGTAATTTTTATATTCATTCCCCTATGTGGAGTGGCATCTTGGTTCTCCTTCCCATTTACAAATGGGTATCCCTACATGAACCTTGACTCCATCAACCAGTTAAGCTCTACGTGCATCCAGCTTTGTTGTATCTGTGCTTTTTCTATTGCAACAAATGTCTTTCTAAATGTTCCAATCACCTATTTTCTAAGCCCATTGTTTCAATGGTTTATTGCCACCAACTTACTTGCCACATTTCAAATTTCTTCCGCCATGTAATGTGCATCCATTTTTTGAACTGGCTTTGGCTTAATCATCTATGAAACCTGATGCATCAATCTTTATCCTCATCATGTTGCTATTGTTTGGCACATTTCTTGCAAACTCTACTGGACATTGCATGATCATTGACCAGGGAACCTGTGATCCAGTGGTTGCTGAATATATAAAGCAGAACATTAACAGAACCATTTTTCCCCACAAACCTCACTAATGATTGACATGACCTCCATCACTGCACAAACTGAATTTTCAATTTGAACTTGACAACCACTCTTGAACCTCTGACAAGATGCAAATCTACTGCACTGCATATAGTAAGCTTTATCCTGGGTAAGAAACTAATTCTGAAATGCCAAAAATGGTTGGTGTGAATATGATTATGAATTGATTATCCATTACATTTTCTTTTCTTGAAAAATTCTCTTTCTTGGTATTGTTCAATTGATGATTTTTATTTGGTAAAAGTTTGGATACTCTTAATATGAGTTTCTTAGAAAATAACATACAACAATGAAATTGAAACCAATTATAACATTGCCTGAAAATGATGGAATGGAAGAGAGGCAAGGTATTTTTTTAAAAAAACACAAGAACAATGATACAACATGAGCAAAAAACACAAGAATACTCATGATCAAACATAACACTTGTCATACAAAACAAATGATACACAAGATATGCAAACAATGATAGAAATGCTAAAGCAATGGTAAAAACAAGAGGATAACCAAAAACACAATGTAAGATCACTCATAAAACAAGCAAGCAGTTATCAATCTAATCATCATAACTTGATGTGTTATTGGTGATGAGACAGTAGGGGACCACCATCTCAACAATAGCTCTCTTGCACAGTTTTCTTACAGCCCAACAGATAGGGAGGGGCATATGACTTCACTGAGTGAGAGAGTTGATCAGACACGTGGGGCTCACAGATTTCATGAAGCTCACACTACCCCAAAAGTAATATCTTCTGTGCAGAAAAGAAAAGTATAGTCATATATTCCTGTAGAAAACTCCCAACAAAACAAAAATGATAAAAATAAGTAGCAAGGCACCTTGCACTTCTACTTGATCATTTGTGTTGCATTGATCTTTTCTTATTTTTCAGTCAAACAACTCTTTGAGAACTTTGGCTGGACTGGGTTAGGAAAATTATGAAAAAAGTATAAAGGGTAGCAAGCAGCGAGTAGAAAAATGATGAACCACTGCATGTATTTTTACCAATCTTTTGTCTTATTGGGAGTTTTCTACACACCATACTCTTGGTGTTGTGTCAGGATTTTCAGGAATTGAGCGGCCGGAAATTGTCACAAACCTTCAACAATTATGGTGTACTCCGCTCACGCTGAGCTATTATGTCATCGAATTGCGGCTAATTCCGAAGTCCGACAGATGCTAGGGACTTTGTTAAGCTAAGCATAGTTGGGGAAATAACTGTGAAGGTACATTGTAGATTGATGGGATGACCGAGAGGGTCCATATTTTGAAGATAGATTCTAGAAGATGAAAGATTGGTTTAATTGATAAGTTGAAGGTTTTAGTTCTTAAGTACAATTTTAAACTGATCAAAATTGTAAAATCAGTGGAGCCGGTGCCATTTTAGAAGAGTGAAAGTGTTAAAATTTGATTATTGAAACAAAAAAACAGATCGATCGATCGATCGATCGTACTTTCAAACAAAAATGAAAAGTTTACAAATTTCTTTAAAGAAATTAAAACTTTTACTTTCAAGTTCGAGTACGAATTTATTTTATCAATCTACTACTGCTACTTTATTAGCTACCACTACCGCTACTACTACTACTACTACTACTACAAACAAACTCTCATTAGTCTATCAACAATCTTCAAATTCATTACATACTACTACTACTTCATTATCTCATTATTATCTCACCAAGAACCATCGTCAGTCAATCTCTTTCTCTTTCATTTTCATTTTCAATAAGATCATCTTGAGTTCAATATGATGTTGTATAAACTAACGATTTTGTTTCATTTCACTTTTCATACAGACCCAAGTTGTCCATCTTCAATGAGTTCAAACACTTTAAAATCAACTGCGACAGATTCATCTCCACCAACGCACTGGGATCCAAAACAAACTCCTTATCCAAAAGCAAGAAGAGATGAATCATTTAAAGAAACTTTTAAAAGTCAAGTAAATGGTGAAGTTGAAGTTCATGATCCTTATCATTGGTTACACGAACCACCCAACAAAAGTGAAGAAACACAAGTTAGTAAAACTTTCAAAAAAAAACCCAACATCCATAAATTGATATACACTTGATTGATTTTTTTTGGTTTTTTTTTTCTTTTTTTCTTTTAGAAATTTGTTAATGATCAAGCCGAATTTACTAAAAGTTTTTTATCAAATTATTCTAAAAAAGATGAATTACACTCCAAGATTTTAAAGAATTGGGATTATCCAAAGTTTAGTTGTCATTCATTAAAAGGAGATGGGTATTATTACTTTAACTATAATTCAGGTTTACAACACCAATCCATATTGTATCGAATCAAAAAAGGTCAAGAATCCAATTCGATCCAATCTTCCTCTGAACCAGGAGCCGCACAAGGACCAGGTGGTTCATTATTCTTTGATCCGAATTTATTATCTTTAGATGGAACCGCTTCTCTTTCTTCAATTGTCTTTTCCAAACCTGGTAACTTTGTGGCTTATGGTGTTTCACTTTCGGGGAGTGATTGGACTACGATTTATGTTCGTAGATCTGATTCACCTCATTTGAAGTCGGCTGAAGAGGGTGGTAAACGTGGTGAAGATCCTGGTAGACTTGATGATGTGATTCGATTTGTTAAATTCGGTTCAGCTACTTGGCTTCATGATGAATCTGGTTTGTTTGTCTATTTGTTTATAATTTTGATAAAGTGGATGATGAAATTGATGTTTTGAATGTTTTGGTTTTTAACTTAGGATTCTTTTATCAACGGTTTCCTGAAAAGAATCAACATGGAAGTACAGAACATAAATCAGGAACTGATACAGGAGCCGATTTAAATGCAATGGTGAATTGACATCACTTGAAACCTTCACTTGAATCTGAGTTTTTTTTCTAAAGACAAATTAATTCTGATTAAACCCAATGCTTTTTGATTTCTCAATAGGTTTATTTTCATAAACTTGGTGATCCACAAGAAAAAGATATCCTTATACTAGAAGTTAGTCAACCATGATTTATCGCATCACGATCTCTTCATCATCACTTATTACAGTATACTTTGTTAGGATCCAGAAAACCCAGAATACATGTGGGGAACAGGAGTCACAGATGAGTAAGTCAAAATGATTTACAAAAAAAACCCTCAAGACTCCATTCTAATGAATTGGGTTTTTTGACTTTATGGTTTTTAAAGTGGAAAGTATCTAATTATGTCAACTGCAAAAGATTCATCAAGATCCAATCGATTATGGATTGCAAAACTGGATGATCAATCGATTGGGCCTAATCTTAAATGGCATAAGATTGTAAATGAATTTGGGAATGAATTTGATCTGTCTGCAAATGATGGAAGTCGATTTTATATCGTTACAAACAAAGATGCACCCAAAAGAAAAGGTTAATCGAAACAAACTCAACTTCCCCTTTAATTCATTTCCATATATTGATGTTTGTTTGTGTTTTTTTTTGGTGGGGGCGGTCGGATTATAGTGGTGGTCTATGATTTAGAAAAACCTGAATTAGGTTTCCAAGATTTAATTCCAGAAGATCCGAATGCGATTCTAGAAACATTTTTTCCAATCCATCAAGATAAAGTGATTATAGGTTATTCAAAAGATGTGAAAGATGAATTATTTATTTATGAACTTTATACGGGGAAAAAAATTAAACAATTTGCTCAAGATATCATTGGATCTTGTGCTCAGATCACTGGTAAGAGAGAGCATAATGAATTCTTTTTTATGTAAGTCTTTTTTGAAATCATAAAAGAAGGATTAACAAAAACAATTGAAAAGATTAGGTTATGAATGGGTTTACAATTTTTGTTTTTTATAGGTTTACTGGATTTTTAAGTCCTGGAACAATCTATAGGTTAGCTTCTCTATTTGGACAATTTCTTTTCAATTGATGGTGCTAAGAAATCGATTTTTATCTATAGGTATAATTTTGATGCACCAGAAGGAAAAGAAATGAGTTTGTTTAGAGTAACTGAATTATCTGGATTAAACCCAGATGAGTTTGTTTCAAAACAAGTGTTTTATAAATCTAAAGATGGAACTCAAATCCCAATGTTTATTACACATCGTAAAGATTTTAAACAAGATGGTACTGCTCCTGGTTATCAGTATGGTTATGTGAGTTTCCTTTTTTTGGGTTTTGGTTTGTAAAGGAAAATTGGGAATTGATGAAATCGAAATCTCAATTGGATTTTCAATAGGGTGGATTTTCGATTAGTATCAATCCTTTCTTTTCTCCTGCTTTAATGACTTTTGTGGCTCATTATGGAGCTGTATTAGCTGTTCCTAATATCAGGGGTGGTGGAGAATATGGTGAAGATTGGCATTTAGCTGGAACGTGAGTCTATTTTATTTACTTAAAAAGCAAAAAAAAACGAATCTAATGATTTTTGGGCGGTCTTTTTCTTGCCTTTCAGTAAAGAAAAGAAACAAAACGTGTTTGATGATTTTCAATATGCAACTAAATATTTAGTTGATCATAAATATGTCGATCCAACAAAAGTGACCATTAATGGTGGTAGTAATGGAGGACTTTTGGTTGCTGCTTGTGTGAATCAAGCTCCTGAATTATATGGTGCTGCTTTAGCTGAAGTAGGTGTATTAGATATGTTAAGGTTTCATCGATTTACTATTGGGTTCGTTGAAGGTTTTTATTCTTTTTTTTCTATGAAAGTGGACTGATTTGAAGTGTTTTGGATTGGATTTTGGATTTCAGACGTGCTTGGACGGCTGATTATGGTAATCCTGATGAAGGAGAAGCTTTTGATTATTTAATTAAATATTCACCTTTACATAATGTTGATCCAAAAGTAACTTATCCTGCATTAATGTTATTAACAGCTGGTAAGTTGTGTTTTGAACACACCTTTGATTTTTGAGTTTTTGATTTGAGAAATCTGATGGTCTTCATTTCTTGATTTGCTTCATAGATCATGATGATAGAGTAGTCCCATTACATTCATTTAAATTCGCGGCTGAACTTCAATATCGTTTATCAGAAAATCCTAATCCACTTTTACTTAGATTAGATTTGAAAGCAGGTCATGGTGCTGGAAAAAGTACAGCTATGAGAATTCAAGAATTTACTGATAAATGTAAGTTCTTTTGAATCATTCATCTTAGGATTGTGTTTTGATAGACAAAAAAAAACTTTATGAAGAACTTGAGATTGATCAAATGGGTTTTTTGGGAATTGTTTTAGTGAGTTTTGTGGCTATGAATTTAGGACTTGAATGGAGAGATTAAAAAAAATCGGAATCAAAAAGATTTTGGGAATTAGATTTAATTTAATTTAATTTAATTGAAATCGAATCTTGACTATTTGGATTAAGTTTTAAACTTATGAATAGGGAAAGAAAAAAAAGAAAATGTTGTAAATAATAGAAGATCTTTAAAAGCTTAAAACTTAAACGTAGTGTTTAATTTGGTAAGATTGCAGTTGTTGATTTGGTAGAGTTGCAGTTGTTGATTTGGTAAAATTTCTGTTTGTTTCATAGTTAGTGAAATTGCACTTGTGACATAATTAATAATAATGGCAATTTGATAATCGACAATGAATGAGATATATTGAATTGAAATTTGTAAAACACATTAATTGATAAGATATAATAAGAAGCATCACCATATAAAATGATTGTAGAAAACATCCATTCATTCCTATCAGACTTATACAACAATGTAGCCAGTGGAGTTGTACACCGCAGGTTTTACCTATAAGGCTGTTTTCCTATAGTCTATATGGCCTAAGAACTGAACTTCCGATCGTCCGGTTGGTCCGCGTCACTTAGAAGACATGCCCCTCGATCATTAGGGTACTCAAATTAAGTATGTAGCGCTACATACTTCTGTTTGGCGGTGAAAAAGAAAAAAATATACTTTTGGCCTTGCCTTCCCCGCCAAAAAATAGGGAGTGCACGTTTTCACTCAAGCGCCGGGGAGACTCGACTTTGTTGAAATCATTCGGTTGGGTTGTTGTGACAAGTTCATGGATTTGGTTGTAGGAGTTGACCAAGTCACAAATAACAAAACCAGTAGTTATGAGCGTCATTATGATCATTAGTCATTGTTTCCAAAAGTAGTATGAGTAAAGTGATGATTTACACTCAAAGCGCTTGGAAGGGGTTAAATCGTTTGACAAGTTTGTGACTCATAAGATAGTTTTGGGTCACCTGAAAACAATCGGTTGGTTGCCTTTCATGGATGGTGTATTATTCACATATGTTACCCATTTGCACAGAACATGGGGTATAAGATCTCTTGTAGTCTGGGTCACGGCGAAATTGAATGGTATCAGCATCTATTCATCTATCAATCATTGAATTTTGCAGGGCAACGGCATGGGACGCATGAATTTTAACTCGCAATGAAGAGTTAAGAAACCTGCCCAATTTGGGTTACCGAGGCCCGATTCCGCGCCCTTGCAAACTCTCTGGAAAGACTCTTGAACTCAAGTGATTTGACTTGGCAATTAAGCTGCCAGTGCCAGATAAGTAAGACAGTTATCACAAGCTGATCTTTTCTATTCTTATTTGTCTGAGGCAGGCAAGTGAATTGAGAACAAAGCTAGGTGATTGAGGTAAGTACATTTACTGCATCAAAGTCGTAAGTGAAAACAAGACATCAAAGTCATAAATGGAGACAAGATATTAAGAAAAAAAAACCCAAGAATCATTTTACAAAAAACGTTGGATTGTAACAAAACAGGGATTCAACAAAACTGTGATAGGTGACAAAGTCCAATAAACAGTAAAGCGAAGATGAAAAGAGTAATGATGGCCAAGACAACAGAATTACGCGACGAACTACTCAAGTCCTTCCGACTGTTACCCAAGTGTAAATACCAACGCCAGCAAAAACACTGATATCGACGCGAGCATTTTGGATCACTTCTACAGTCTTGATACCATAAGTATCTATAGTCTGTGTAAGACTGGTGAAGTAAGTCGAGTAAAGGGACCACGTGTCTGCGTTACCAAAAGATTGTATTAGCTCCACAATTGAAATTGGACTGCTTGAAATGGAGATAATACCAAGATACTGACCTGTAAAAAGTTCAGTTTGCCATGTTGTGGTGATAACTTGAACCATAGACTGGAAAACGACATAGACTTGAGAATAGATATTCGTAAATTCCACCTGCATCATGTTTTGTGTAAGCATCAGGATTGCATTTGATCGTGATATATAGGCATATGTAAAAAAAACTCACATTTTGTGAAATGCCACTACAGTCACAACCGCCGAGGGTTAACAAAGGCTGTGAAATTGTCGTGTGCGTTTCGGTGAGGAGCTGAACCACAGCTTGAGTTTCTGTGATGGTCGCAAGTTGGCCAGAACACGTCCGGAATTGCTCTACCACGGTTTGGACATACGCGACCACTTCGGTGACCGTGATCGTTGTGGTTAGTGTCGGTGCGGCGTACCATCTCTTCAACCAAACGTTGTCCCTGGCTGCCAGTTGATTGGGCGTGAAGACATTACTGAAAGGATGGATAGGAAATTAGAAATTTGTATCCTGAAGATTAGAGATGAAGTACTAGAGAGAAACTAACGGCAGGACAGCAGCATAGACGGCAGCTGAAAGAAGAATAAGTAAAAATCAAAAAGATGAGTATGATGATGCTGAATTGCAAGACGAGATGTGACGGAAATATAAAGGAAAGAGATGTGTACCAGCTAAAGCAAGAACGGTGAATAACCAGGAGAGATGCATGATTGAGAGTTTGTGGTTGCAGGTTATATTTCAAAGTGAACAAAATAAAATATAGCAATGAAACAATAGCAATCAAAGGCAAATCTAAGCAAAGGAGGGTTTCGTAAGGTTTCGTCACCGGTGGGTTTCGTAGGAGCAGCTTGAGGTTGAAGAAAGATGGAATTCGTGTTGGTGTTTTATAGTCTTCATTTCAAGAATCAGAAAGAGTTGAAATATAAATAGACTTAGTCAACTCAATCACATTGTACCAATCAGACACGCTCTTTCGCACGTCTTTCTGACAGGCTTTACTTGCTCACCCAAGGAACGCAAGGAACCTTTCCACTCAACGTAAAGACGAAATGGCATACATAAAGCTTAACTAAGCCCCTCTTCCAAAGTGGTGGCATTTGAATCACCAGAATTTCTTCCACTCCCTTGCAAGTGACTGTGAGCAACTAGCAGCTTCTGATAGTATTGAATTTAAGTTTGATATTACACCGGTGCAGTATCACATACAAGAACAAATTTTACGTTTCCCACATGGCTAGTGTAAGAGACACGTTCAGCTGTGAATCTTCAATCTAATAGCTCCGTCGCCGAGTTCAACAAGATAAAGAAATGGAACCGGAGCTAATGCTGAGCTGCCGGCTCTTCAGGACTGCGCCGCGGTGGTGCTACGCCGGCCTGAGAATAGTGCCATAACACATTGGACTCTATTGGACTCTATTGGACTCAACTCGACTCAACTTGATCAGTTTTTGAAAAGCAGCTCGAGGGAAATCACGCCCTGGGGTGAGTAAGGAAGCCTGTCAAAGAGATAAGCATGCATTGCCAAGAGCGTGACTGATCGGTATCTAACTGTACTTATCTAATCGAGGTCAGAAGATTTATTCAATTCGAAAACAAATCATCTCGCCCCATATAATTCTCAGGTGGGGTAACTACATGGCCCCTTGAATTACGTAAGTCAAGAACATATTCCATTTGATCAGTTCCAACTTCCCATTGCAAATTGAGCCTTTCAAAGATCATCTTGAAAAAGTTAAAGGCTTAAATAATCGAAGAAGAAATCTAAAGACTCATAAAAAACCTAATCATCAAGTTCAAGAGTTTAAAGAGCACCAAGACTTTTGATCTGTTTGAAAATATCATCAAGGAAATTTAAGATCTTCTCAACAAGAAATCCAAAAGAAAAGAACGAATATTGCGATTTCAAGAATTAGTTTTAAAATACAAACATACAAACACCTTAATACAAACTACTATATGCTTGCTTTGTAAAAATTTCTTCGAAATCTATCTATCTATCTCATCATAAACATATGAAAAGAAATAATAACCTTCTATCAAGTATGTATATGTATATAAATGTATAAAGAAGCTAATTAGATTAAATATAATAGTAAAACCTTTTTCATGTTCAATGATTTTCTTGAATATAAAACAACCAAAGAAAGAACGAAACTAAAGAAACCTTACAAAAGACTTTAACATTCTATACAGGAAGAAAAAAAATTGCGTAGGTTTGTATACATCAACTAAATTCAGCCCTGACCCTCCCCTAAGAAGCACCACAATCTTTCTCCGATCTAGTTTATAAAGTTTAATATTCTGACCATTGATCTTCACTATCAGTAGAAGTATCAGCATTTAAAACAGCCAATTTAACTTTCCTAGGTAACCCTTCACTAGCCTTCAGGCCCTTCTTTTCTTGATC